CTACAATTTATATGATGATGATGGACCTAGAGTCTAGAAATAAAGCTATAACTGAAATTAGACCTAAAGTCTAGTACATTAGTTGGTGTAAGACACGATTTACAATCAGACAATACAATTACAAACCACTACATTAGGCCTATAATGTTTACTAGATCTAGATCTAGGCCTTGTCTGTTGCATATATTGCCAATCTCACACACCAGTTAATATGTTACATCAATCTCGTATTTTCTTTTTGTTGAACATACACTTACTTGTATGTTGTACTCTAGGACTTGTATTTGATCTACAGATGAATGATGGAATAGTGTAATTTACTTTTGGACGTCAATTCAGTCTCACTGTATTTCAGTGGGCGGCTTTTAAAAGTTAAAACTGCAAGCGTAATACACACAAATAACGTAACACTGTGTCGTATTTACTTAACGTGGGGCAGTTGCGCTATATCCTAGGGGAGGGCATAATTATTAATTAATAGGCATTATAGGGCAGAGGAAATTTTGCGCCCCTTCACACCTGCGCCCGGGGGCGTCTGCCCCCTTGCCTCCCTCTTGCTACGCCACGGCAAAAAGCCCATGGAAAAGATACTTTAAGGGGAAAAAGAGTACAAACGAATGTTTCCTGACTTTCATACAAAACTAATTTTAAAAGGTGAAACTATATAACATTTTTAATGCTTGGAGACGACTTGAATGGGTAATGAAGAAAAACTTTAATATAAGCTTAACATAACTGCAAAAAACCTGATGATGAATAAAACCTTGTCGAAACGTTGTACATTTGCTGTTATGTTAAACTTATACTAAAGTTTTCTTCACTATCCATTCAAGCCGTCTCCAACCATTATTAGTCTTAAAGTGGGTTCCTCATCATCGAATTTATACAACACTTTAAAAAACAAAAACATGAGGGAATCCTCAATAGCCGCAGCACTAGAAATTATTTTAGGCTGGATTATAATAAATTAATCTGTGAGGCCTTTTTTTTTTTCCTCGTGGGGCGCGCGTATATCCCATTCAATTTTATTACTCATCAGGACCTCTACCAGCCTACCCTCACGTTGAAATTCTTTTAGGCAGGAAAGAGTAAATTAATCTATGAGACCTTGGGCGTGGTCAAATACATCAATCGAAAGGGTTTTACCTCCCGAGTCCAAAATTGTAATTAGATCTGAATTCGGTAAAGAGATGACAGAGTTTGTAGTTGAGAAAAACAAAAAAAAAAAACAGAGTCATTCTATGAGCCACTTTGCCGCGGCTAATTAAAAAAAACTCGATCACAATTGTAGTGATGGAAACACTACACACTCTGGACTAAAATCACTCCTTTTAAAAAACGGATAACCATCTTTTTACTTCGAAGAAGTTTTAAGGAAAAGCAAATTAACATCAAATCTCCAAGTTGAAAAATACAACACAATGTTTTGTACTATCACGAACCAAGGAACACAATATTTTGTAATAATCTCTAAATTAATTCAAAAACACAATAAAGACAACTTTTACAGTAGACAAGTTTTAATTTTAATGATTATAACGTTTCGACCCATGGGTCATCATCTTACCAACACCTATCATTCGTTACACATATTCACAGCGGACAAACCTTTATTTCATAACAATCTATACAACTCTCTGTACAATCAATCAACTCGAGTACGATTGCACTCCTGGGAAGTATTTTTTTTTTTTTTTTTTTTTTTTACTTAGAACGTCAACTAAATACAGAATAAAATTGAAGTGAAATGCAGATCTTATTGTTGTTTCTCTACAACCCTCTTAATTTAACTACTGCGGCTAAAAGTCAGAGGTGTGTAAAATCGCATCTTAGATCTATCTTTAACCTTCCCCAAGTTACTGCCGAAGAAGCTATAATTTCAATACCAGAACTCACCAGTTGGGCTGTACGATGAGAGTCAAAAGACTCTATGAAACGCTATCAATATACGCAATATAATATTTTAAAAGGTACTGTTTTGGAGGTCATCATCTTTAACATCATGTTCACAAAATGTAAACTAACTAAATGCAAAATACCTGCATCAACTTTTGTTTAAATCAATCTAAATATACCTAACTAAAATATATTATTTTCTATATGAAAGGATGAAATATAGCAAGTAAACTTGGACACTGATGTTGACAGTGTTATTTACGTACATATTTAATTTGTAAACATTCTAATATACTGAATTCATTCGTGACGAGTTGTTGACAGTGTTGTTTACGTACACATTTAAATTGTACACATTCTAATATACTGAATTCATTCGTGACGAGATGTTGACAGTGTTGTTTACGTACACATTTAAAATGTACACATTCTAATATACTGAATTCATTCGTGACGAGATGTTGACAGTGTTGTTTATGTACACATTTAAAATGTACACATTCTAACATACTGAATTCATTCGTGACGAGTTGTTGACAGTGTTGTTTACGTACACATTTAAAATGTACACATTCTAATATACTGAATTCATTCGTGACGAGTTGTTGACAGTGTTATTTACGTACACATTTAAGTTGTAATCATTCTAAATATACTGAATTCATTCGTGACGAGTTGTTGACAGTGTTGTTTACATACACATTTAAGTTGTAATCATTCTAATATATTGAATTCATTCGTGACGAGTTGTTGACAGTGTTATTTACATACACATTTAAGTTGTAATCATTCTAATATATTGAATTCATTCGTGACGAGTTGTTGACAGTGTTGTTTACGTACACATTTAAATTGTAAACATTCTAATATATTGAATTCATTCGTGACGAATTGTTGACAGTGCTGTTTACGTACACATTTAAATTGTAAACATTCTAATATACTGAATTCATTCGTGACGAGTTGTTAACAGTGTTGTTTACGTACACATTTAAATTGTAAACATTCTAATATACTGAATTCATTCGTGACGAGTTGTTAACAGTGTTGTTTACGTACACATTTAAATTGTAAACATACTGAATTCATTCGTGACGAGTTGTTGACAGTTGT